TGTCAATGTGATTAGTCAACCGCCGGTGATCCGCGATGGCACTCTAATGGCAATGTGTGGCAGTTATAATGTGGTAGTTATCATGTGAAATATATACTTAAATTAGACTAAAACATTAACTATAGTTGTTTGACACAACAACTAAATTTTATAGTTATATGTCCATAATATATTTATATATTTAGTGGTTCTATGGTGGGCCTAAGGTCCACATGAACCTTCTCACATATTTTTTTTTAATTTTAAAAATTCTTATTTCAGCATTTGAAAATGCTTATTTAGCATAAATGAAGTTCCACTATAGACCTTAAGTGCATGTAATAATTTGTCTTATACCCCCTCCGTCCCAAAAAAAATTACACGTTTTAAAAAAAATTGCGTCTCACAATCCCTTACCCATTTCTTTAAAAAAAACCACTTTTACCCATTACTTTTCCAAACCCTACCTATCACATCATACTTTTTTCCTTATAATCTACACATCACATCATATTTTTACCCATCACATCAAGAGTATTTTTGGAAAGTCAACACAAAATTATCCCTCCCTTAATTTCTACTTTAGTCAAAACGTAGTCATCTTTATAGGAGGGAGGAAGTATACTTTAACATAGTCAAAATCTCAGTTACCTCTTTAAAGTGACATTTAGTTTAAGACGAATGAGTAGCGTTATAAATATTCCTACTATGAAGTTTACACTTTCTCTTTTTTATGACCAACTCTATGGTAGACTTAGAGTTTATCATGGATCTACATATGAGCAAAATAAACATTTTCTTATTACTTAAATAAGCATCTAATTTTTAAATAAAAATATTTAAAAAAAATTTATGTGAGAAGGTCCACAAAAATGGTGTGCATTCAAGGTGCACCAAAGGACTATTTTTTATTTAAGAAAAATTAATATGTGTTTTATATGTATTGCTCCCTCCATCCAAAAAGTTCCTTCCAATTTTGGATTGACGAGATTTCTCTGAAATTTTTTTAAGTTCTATTTATTTTATTATAAGTGTAAAATTTAGAAATAAAAATTATATTTACAAAAGTACATCAAAAGTTTTATAAAACAAAAGTGATATCATTATAATATTTTATCAAATAACTAATGAAAATAGGTAAAGAAAGTAATTAAAATTTCCCTATGTGAATACTAATTGAGCAGAAAGTTTTATGTGTGAGGGAGTATGGCGTATAGCAAAAGTATTGTTATACGTCATATTAGCAATTGTACACCAAGGGATGAGATTGGGACCAAGGAAGAGCGTGTAACCATTAGTAGATTTGCGTTCATCTTTATCATTTGCCCAATAAAATTCAGAGTAAACAGATGGATCAAGTCCCCCCTTACGAAAAAGAAGACCAAGGTGTTGAGTACCTTTTAAAATTCAGAGTAGAATACGCTGCACGACATTATAATCCTGCTCAATTGAGTTGTGCATATTTGAGACACCTGATTAACAACGTACTAAATATCCAGACGAGTAACATGTAGATAATGTAAATCACTAACAATGATTCAGAAGGGAGAAGGATCTTTGAAAAGAAGCAGAAGACTTGATTACAGGTCGAGCCACCATGGGAGTAACGGCAGGATGGCATTCTGACATGCATGTCCAGCAAAGAACATCACGCGCGTACGAGCTACCTGTAATGACAATGTCATCAACATAGACAAGTATGATGACTGTTCCTCGAGCACAATGATGAGTAAATAAAATGGTGGCATGAACACGAACAAAAACTAAGGCCTTGCAAAAAAAGTTGATAGGCATGTGTACCACACATGTGGGGCCTATTTGAAACCATACAAGGACTATCGCGGCTTGCAAACATAGTGTTACGCCTCAAAACATACCCTAGAATTATTAATAAATAAATAATAAATTAATCAAATTTGTTTTGATTAAAATAATTTATTTTTGGACTTTGGGCCGAAATAATGTGTTTGATATCCCATTTCTTAATCTGGATAAATCTCATAGAGATAAATCCAATATGTTGACTAATTGTATAATTTTGGTTGGGAACCTGAGTACAAACCCAAAATCAGTAATAAATGAATAATGAGTTTATGATGTAAACTTTAAAATGATTTATTGAAATAAATCATGAAAATAAATAATATGAATTTAGTATGAGCACCTTTTTAAGTAAATGTCAAATAAATCAATTTTGACTTTGTCAAAGTCAAACACCACAAATATGATGTCGGAAAAAGTATAACAAATAAATGTAAAAATTATATCGTTGGATAGAGTTTAATTGCACGATCGCCGGAAAATCTTCAAAACCTTCATTTACCTTCGTGGTAAGCCCGTAGATATATCTAGTGACTAGAATATTCGTATAGATCGTTTCTATGTTCATAAACGGTCGTTTGGTTGAGTTTTGTGTTTGACATGTTTGAGGAACCAAGAAACATAAACCATGGAATTGATGTTAAAACTATAAATTAATGATTTCAAAATGATCTATAAACCTTAGAAAACATTTCTAAATAATTTAATTGAAGTTTGGTGATTGAAAATGAAAATACTCTAAACTGACCAGAACAGTAGCCTAAAATAAATTATTTCCTTCCTACGAATGATTAGAACTGTGTTTCGAAGTCAGTATAAAAAAATAATAATCAATTATTTTAATCATAAAAATCGATTTAAAGTTATTAATCGATTATTGTAATTATAAAAATCGATTTTTAAGTATTAATTGATTATTTTAAATATAAAAAATCGATTTTTAGTAATTAATTGATTATTTAAAATATAAAAATCGATTTTTAGTAATTAATTGATTATTTAAAATATAAAAATCGATTTTTAATGATTAATTGATTATTTAAAATATAAAAATCGATTTTTAGCAATAAATTGGTTATTTAAAATATAAAAATCGATTTTTAGCTATTAATGGATTATTTTAAATATAAAAATTGATTTTTAGGTATTAATTGATTATTTTAAAAATAAAAATCAATTTTTCTCAAGTCCAGATCCTGTTCCGAAAATATTCTGAAAATATATGCTCTAAAATCCACCAATTGATTATGATCATTGGAAAAATGATTTACCATAATAAAAATGATGTTTTAACAAATAAAAATGTTATGTGATGCATGACGGTAAGTTAGGGTGTTAACACCCGAAACTAGACCGCTAATTGTTATTGAATATTATGTTGATTGATGATTATGGTAATGATTATTGATTGATGATTATGATGATTAAATCATGATAAATGTTCTGATTAAAAATGGATATTATGAATGATTAAATCATAATGAATATATTGATGATTGTGAAAACAGTATGTATTGTTAAGGGTATCTAGAAGACCTCTAAGATATACCCATTATAATGTTGATTTGAAAAGTATCTAGAAGAACTCTAAGATATACCTATATAAGTTAGGCCTTGCGGGTATGATGCCCGGTGGCTAGGGTTAAAACGTACGTACGGGATTCAAGAACCAAACTTGAGTACCTACTCGTTTGGGGGTACCACCCAACCCAACAGTGAACACTACGCTGTCGGTTTTTGGTTGACCTTAAGCGAAAGTAAGTTTAAGATTTGAAAACTCTTTTTATAAATATATCTTAAACTAGGTCTAGCTTAAGGATTAGAATATCTTGAACTAGAATTAGTTTAAGAATGGAATTGGCCTTAGACTAAAATAGTTTAAGGATATTGTTGATTATGAATGTGGAATGTTGAATATGAATATTGAATGACGAATGTTGAATATTGATTATTGAATATTTGAACTGAACACTTTGTGCATGATATCAAATGATTTGATTATGAATTTAGATTCAATTTATATGGATGTTCGACGCATTAGATATGCTTACTCAGCTTTACTTCTAAGCGTGTAGTATGTTTTATTTTCTACACGCAGGTTATTAGAAAGAATGAAGTGACGTGGTCCTGGAGGCAGACGGAGGCGGGATTGTCGGAATGGATGTGATGATTTTAAAGAACATAAATAAATTATGTTTGTATTATGATTTGTTAAGCTTCCGCAATATTGAAAACTCCGTACTGTTTATTATATGAAAAATATTATTGTGATAAATAGAAGTGTTTGAAATGTTTTAAATTTTACGATTACTAAGTTAATACTTTAGTCCGAAAGGGGCTGCAGACCTAGACGAATTAGGGTGTTGCACATAGTACAGACGCTGGGAATTTATGTATTTCGATGATTGCTCTATATAGATATCTTTGTCCACAGTGCCATGGAGAAAGGCGATACTGACATCCCACTGATGTAGAAGCCAATCATGATTAAGAGCCAAATTGAGAATAAGGCATACCATTCGTTGTTTAACAACAGGACTAAAAGTCTCCTTATAATCAATATCACACTCTTGATGATAACCATTGGGTACAAGGCGAGCCTTAAACATTGAAATTGATTCATCAGCGTTCCGTTTAATATGATACACTCACTTACAACCAATCGGAGTGCGATTATTAGGCGGTGGTACCAAATCCATAGCCTGACACCAAAATTTTTTACTAAAAGCTTGGTGCTATGTGTTAGGCTCAGAGGTAGAGGGAGTATTATCAAGAGTGGTGATAATATAAGTTTTAGGCTTGAAAATTTCAGATTTGGCACGAATTTGCATGAGATGACTCTTAATGGTGGTATTTGGGAAAATTTCAGATTTGAAATTTCAGATCAGGCTTGAAATTTTCAGATTTGAACATTTGAAGTTATTACAATATTCTTTTTAAAAAAGTAATGTATGAAGCGCAAAAGCGCAAGACATCACAAGGATTCATGGTCCATAGCAACTTACAGAAAAAAGTTAAGCCAAATAAAAGTTTTCTCATTTCCTAAAATAATATTTTTAGCCATTTTAATTTTTATTTACATATTTACAACTGATATAAAATGTTTTTTTTCTTTTACACAATGGGCCTTTACTTTCTTTGGGCCTTGGGCCATTGCCCCTATTGACCCATGTTTTACACAAGGAAGGTTATATTACGAATTTACGACACTGAATTTATGTGTCAAAAGAGTTATGGTAAAAAAGACAGTCTGATCTAGCCTAGTTTGTTTTGATTTAATATGATTTCAATAAGAATAAGTTGAAGATAACAAACTCCTCATGTGGCGTGAGAGATATTTTCTAGAAGACAGCCGGGGAATATCAAAATCACATTTTACCACATTCAACCAATTGGTTACAAAAGAAGGAAAAAAAACAAAGTTACAAGGAGTAGAATTGTGTGGATAGATAAAATTACACAAAAATATATGTATATAAAAATAAAATACAAGTAGATATATAGTTTGATTACAAAATCTACAGGGAGGAAGACTCGGCCGATTCCAAATCTGCAGAATTCATTTGCCAAACCTTAACAGAAGCTGTGACTGAGGACTTAGTGGCATTGTTGAACAAGAAGAGTTTGGCATTCTCATATATTGCTTTTGTTGGGTAAACTCTTGATGTTATGCAAGTCCTCCCTCCTTGTGCAAAGCTTTCCACTATGGAATGGTCAACCTATAAAAAATATATTTTTTTTAATATTTTGTTTGGTCAAAAAATGTAAAAAGTGCAAGGAAGAAATACTCCCTCCGTCCCAACAAGTCCGACACGTTTCGAAAAAACTGCGTCCCGTAAAGTCCGTTACATTTCTATTAAAAAACCACTTTTACCCCTTACTTTTTCATACCCTACCTATCAGATCATATCTTTTTCCTAATAATCTACCCATCACATCCTACTTTTACCCATCACATCAAGGATATTTTTAGAAAGTCAACATCAAAATATCTCTCCCTTAATTTCCCAAAAAGTCAATATATACCAATCTTTTTGGGACGGAGGGAGTATATATAACTAAGCCTAATTATAGTTCATATCTATTTATATACAAATAGGGTGTTATAAAAATATGATATTTCAAACTTCATTTTACAAAATAAACTTATTTGTATTAAGAGAAATTTACCTAAACAGGACTAAAACATGACTTTCCCAATATAGGACCATATTTTTTATTTCTCAATGTAGCACCTTTGGTCATTATCAAGTAGTCATTATTCAAGTAAATGTCCATCATTACTGGACATTATTCCTCCCATTAGGTCATTATTAAGTCCTATTTAGGGAATAAAAAAATTTAAGTAGGAAAGTCATTATGTTTTAGTCCTATTTAGTGCAAATTTCACTTGTATTAAATTTATATATACAATAAACCTATGTAATCTTTCCATATCTTCTAATCAAATTTAAAAGTTATTGACCAGCAAAAAGCAATCAGGAAAGAAAATTAGGAGATGGAGGATACTATTTTAATCTCATTAAGATACTCCTTTCATTCTAAAATTAACTACTCAATTTGATTTAAGTTTTCATATAAATTTATTATAAATAGATTAATTTTGAAATATATTCTTTCTATAACATATATTTGTATAAGAATAGTTATACGAATGGTCAAACTATTACATTGAAGATCATGAAAAATCAAATACTCCCTTCATCCTATAATGTTCTTCCCGGTTCATTTCACGAGGTTTGACCGACTTTATTTTCAATTCAATTTATTTGATTGTAGGTGTAAAATTAAAAAATAAAATTTATATATTAAAAAACTACATCAAAAGTTCTACAAAACAAGTGGTGACAAGACTATATTATTTTATCAAATACCTAATGAAAATAGGTAAAGAAAGTGATTAAAGTTTGACCGGGTAAAAAATGAGTGAGAAGAACATTTTAGGACGGAGGGAGTAAAAAGTAAATTTTAGGACCAAAGCAGTAGTTTTCTTGAAGTGAGAAAAAAATTAAAGAAAAAAATACTAGGTATTAGAAAGATCAAAATGGTTCTTTTGACCCTTGAGCCTCGAGTCATATTTTGGCCCGGAGTATGATTCAGGGCATGAGTGCCGGAGGGTATGCAAAGTGATCAATCGCACAGGGCTCCTAAAAATTTAGGAGCACATATTTTTAAATTCGGGATTAATATTAAAACATAAGTATTCTAAAAAAATAAAATATGGCCCAAAAAGTAAGTTTTGGACCGGGCCAAATTTTTTAATTTTTCAGGGTCAGCCTTAAATCCCTTGATATTTGGGAGTCCCTACAGTCCCGAGTCTCCGTTCGTAAAATTGATGGTTCATACCCCCCTAACCCCCCTAAATCTTATTCCACAATCCGCTACCTGCCCACCCCACAGCACCCCCTGCCCCCTCCTCCCCCAAGTCGCTAATTAACTACAGTAATAGGCCTAGGTCATAATATGATCCGAGGTTCAAGGGTTAAAAGATTCTTGCAGTATAAAGATATATATTGAATAGCAAAAAATGGGCCATTCGGGTTCATACCAGTATTCTCATGGTAAGCTTTTCACCATTCAACCACGTCACTTGACTGCCGTGTATACCCTTAACGACGTCGCTTGCCTGAGAGGACTTCAAGTGGTCGGCGCAAAAGAACGTCGTCAAGTTTCCCGTTACGTCTTTGGTAATGTAGAAGTAAACAGGGGTCTGTTCAGTCAACTCACTGTCCGTCAAAACTAGCAGACCAAACGGTCCTACCGCGCCGCGGTTGGCGGCTCCGCCGCCGTCACCACCGCTGCAACTGTAGCTTTCGCCGCTAGCTTCTGCTCTCTCTAACGCGTCTCTCTCCACATCGAATTCCGCAACTATGTCCACCTGCAGTGTTTCCAAACACGCCTTTATGTTTTCTTGAACTTTGATATTATAAATCGATTAAACTATTTGTATCCTAAGATTTCTACCCCAATTTGTATACTGTAGGTGTGCACTTACATTTTGTGTCGGTGTAATGCTAGGATGATATTCACAGACACAAAATGTTAGCGCAAATTTTTGTTAACGCACCAACATTTTGTGTCTGTGTAAATCATCAAAATCTTAGTGTATACCTTTGGTGTAATTTTGGGGTACACTTTTTGGTGTAAGTGTAGCATGGTTGATTATAAATTTTATGAGGGATTTTGGTGTACCCCATCCACTTTTCATCCACACATTTTAAATTATTTATTAATTTATTGTTTTGCATCCAAGAGCGTGTGATGTTGAACCACTTGGGGTACATTTGGGGTACATATTTGATGTACCCCTAGCTAATTTCTAAATTTATAATCAGTTCTTTCATAGAATGATTGTATGAAAAATAGAGTTAGGGTATTTAATCGAAAAAACTTTCAATTATCCATGATCCCAAACATTATACAGAAATGCTCAGAGAGTTTTTGTCTCTAAACACAGACAATAACTGTTCGTGTAGTCTGTGTAAAATTTGAGATCATGAACATATGTGTTTGAATGATGTTTACCAAACCAATCGAAATAACATTGGATGGCTTCGGTTGACACCGGTGTTCACTCAAGTTATTTTTCGTTTAAAAAGTTAATTGTTTCTAGAGGATTAGAATTATTTATTTTTCAAAAAGAGCCCCATAAATAAGCTCTGTGTCAACGGAACAGGGTGGTAATATTTATGTACCCTTTAAATTAATTGTACATATATACTAGTTTTCTACCCCGTGCTTCGCACGGGCTCAGGATGTGTTCACGTGTCTATTAATTAAGATTATCATAGTTAGACTCTTTTGGTAAAACTATGTAACACTTTGATTATAAATTAAATATAATTTTAAATAATCAAATATCATAAAAATTTGATATATGAAAGCAATATTTTAAATGGACACAATTTTTATAAATTTACACACTTTGTGGTCAGAGTATAGAACAACTTGACCAAAAATATCAAATTGTTATTAAATGATATACTAGTGAAAATTGATTTACCTAATGACAAAATAAAATAAAAATGCCAAATAAATTAAGGTAATGATAAATCATTGAAAAATACAAATGCGGTATATGGCCTATAAATATGCTTTGTGTTATACTTCAATAAAAACAAATTAAATTAATTTAATTTGTTGAAATGATATATAGCAAATTAAATAATGTTACAAATAAAATATTATGAAATAAAATAAGTATACAGTTAGTAAATATATACTTAATAAAATATAGTTATTTGGTAAAATAACAATATAAAATAAATGATGGATATATATATATATATATATATATATATATATATATATATCTGTGTGTGTATGTATGCATGCATGTATGTATATGTATATATAATGTTAGTTCTTTTTCAGACTTTGCATGTTTTCTAATATTCTACATCTAAAAAATAAAAAATTATTTATTTTAATTCTTTCATATGATATATGAAGTTTATAAAAACCCAATAAAAATAAATATGCATTGATGACATCACTTGTGGTATCACATGTGGCATGGTGTGCACACGTGACATGAAATGTTTTATACAAACTAAATGATCACTGAAAAATAATAAATAAATAATTTTTTATTAAAAAATTCAAATAACAAATTTCAAATGAATCAATTAAGTAATGACACATAATGAGAAAATACATATATGACATACAACGCGTATCATCTTTCAACTCTAACTTTCTTTTGTTTAGTTTGTTGAAAAAAATACACCATATACTAAAATATACTCATGCTTCATAGTATGTAATAGGATATAAAGTTTGAAATAATTTTGTATTTAATAAATATTTATATTTGATAAAAATGTTATAATACTGCTTTGAAATTTTAATAACAATAAATATTTTTTTTGCTCAATAATAATTGTTATTTAGTGCAAGAAAGTGAAGGGTTTATAAAACTATAATAAAAATAAAAGTCATTTAATGTACAAAATTGAAGGTTTTTCATGAAACTTTAATAATAATAAATATATACATGTGGCATGACACACACCAAGGTGTAATGCACACGTGGCCTAAAACTTTTATACAAATGTAATGGTCATCAAATAAAATAATAATGAATTTTTTTTAATTAATAAAAATAAAAATATCAATTAAATGAATTAAATAATGACACATCATTAGAGAATGCATATCTGTCGTGTGCCACATGTAATCCATCAATTAAACTTTCACTTTGTTTAGTTTGCTAAAAAAATATATAATAAAATAAGGCAAAAAATTGAAATATGTTATGAAGTTAATAAAGATGCATGTGTGATAAAAATTATATATAATAGTTTCTTTTGAGACACTGGATAATTTTCAAAATTATAAGAAACATTTTTTTCTTAATTAATAAATTTTATATAATTTTTTAATATTATAAAAATAGTCACACATATTTAAAAAAATATTTCTAAAATAGTTAGAAAGTGAAAATTTAATAAAAAAGAATAAAAATAAGGTTTTTTATTGTTGGAAAGTGAAGGGTTTATAAAATATAATAAAAATAATAATTTAATGCAAAATTGAAAATGCATGTGTGGAGTGACATGTGTCTTGTGATTTACATGTGGCATGACACATGTTAGTTATATGCCCGTGTGGCATGACACGTGTTATCACCACAAGTGTGTAACTCTCTTTTACATATATATATCGGATTTTAAAAAACTAAAACTAAACACCATGGCATAATACTTTGAAAGTGTTAAAATTAAATGTTGAAACTTATAATATTTTCAAAATAATAAAACTAAAAATTAAAGCCAATGTGAAACTAAAGATTCTATCTATTGATAGATGGAGACACTCGTGGTTGGGCTGCACCTTTCGGGTGGTTGAGAGGATTCCGTTTTAAATAATAGCAACGCCATATTTATTGTTTCTTTTTGCAAAGTTTCCATGTTTTTTTTGTCGTTTTAGAGAAAAAATTTTACAATCTTTTTTTCGTTTTTGAAGAGAAATTTTCGTCTCATCCCCATTAAGAAAACTAAGACTTAACTATTCTTGGATCGGTCAATGAACCGGCGGGGCAACAAAGTCCTGGTTTTACGGGTACCGGGTCAATCGGTAGAGACGGATTTTCTCGAATTTCTTAGGAGTTAGACCGAACCGTCCAATTTGAACCGATTCAAATAATGAGTATTATAAAAGCAGCAATTTTTTTTACTAGCAAAAATGATTCGAGAATGATCCGAATATTTTCGGGCACCGACAATTTTTATGGGCTAAAGATAATTCTTGCCCCCAATTCACCTCTCTCCAAACCTCCCCTGCCCCCACCCAGCCACCCTGCCCCCGTATCAGCGGTCTGGATTGCCCAAAATGGCAACGGGGGACTGAGGTGGGGTGCGGGAAGAAGAGGAAGGGGACAAGAGTTTTCAGGTTTTGAAATGATTAAGGGATAGAAAGTATCAATTTTAGCAATGGAGTACGGTACGTGTTCGGATCATTTTAACATCAAATTGACTTAAATCAAAGAACTATGTGTCGAAAAAAAGTAGTCAAATGAAAAAAGGGCAGAATGCAGGTAGCTTCTGACCTGGTTAGCTGAGCTGACATTGAGGGGCAAAATGGTCCCTGGATTCACCACTACATTTGCAAATTCAGTCTTTTTTGTTCTTAGCTTCTCAACTTCTTGAACCGGCCATAGCTTCAAATTGCTCCCGGTCTTTTCGTCCCATGCAACTGTTCTTGGGATGGACTACACAATTTCAATTCACACAATTTTTAATCAATTAAAAATGTCAACATTATTTTTTAAAAATAATTTTTGTGAAATTTAAACTCGGGACTTTTTTACGAGACGGAGGGAGTATTAATAATGCGCGTACCTGGAGTGATGCCCAACCCTTTTGAACATCGGATGATTCACTATCAGTCTCAGTGATCCAACCCCAAAGAATTCTCCTCTTAGTTTCTTGATCGTAAAACGTCTTCGATGCGTAAAATGTCCCGTAATCGTATCTCAACCCGATCCCGACATCGATGGTGGGATTGTCGGGAGTCCACTTCCCGGAGGCTTCGTCGTAGCTCCCGAGGGCATAGTAGTCATTTCGATCATCGTCGAGGCTGGATTTGAGCACGTGTTTCACGGCAGGGCCATTGTCCGACGTGTCGAGACCGTTTTTACTCACTTTGGATACTGGGTAGAAATCCACGCATTCCCACATTCCCGTACCCGGCACACCGTGGAGCGCCCCATCAAGGCGCTCGTAGCTCTTGAAGTCCTCGGTGTCGTACAACAACGTTATCCCGGTCTTGTTGACCTTAGATCCAATAGCAATGCGCCACTTGCCCTCGGACGTGGCCCACGCCGTGGTGGGATCACGAAAATCCTTGTTCCCGATTCCCGGTGGCGGGACCAGAACAGGGTTACCCTCGTACTTGACCCACTTGAGAAGGAGTGGGTCAGACGGGTCAGAGGGGTACGCCAGGTTCTGGACCTGCACTGACTCATTGGTCGAACCGGTGTAGAGCATGACGAGTTGTCCGTCACGGAGGAACGTGGCGGACCCGGTCCAAACACCGTTGACGTCGTACCAGTGGTCGGCGGTCATGGCGATGGGGAGGTGGCGCCAGTGGATCAAGTCTCTTGAGACTGCATGGCCCCATACGATGTTGCCCCATATTGCGCCCTTTGGGTTGTATTGATAGAAAAGATGGTACCATCCTTTGTAGAACAATGGACCTAATAATAAACGTTAGAGATTGGCGTTAATCTTTAGAAAAAATTATCTATGAACATCGTTTTCAAAGGAAATATACACCGTTTAAAATGTATGTAAAATGCGAACGCTAATCAAAAATATTATTTCCAAAAAGCGGAATAACATAAATAGGAAACTTCTTTTTCCAACACTTTGCCCAGCGCCGAGTTGTAATTTGTTAATAATTAATTGGACATTGACACGTCGTTAATAGACAAACTACAAGATGGTTCTGTATATCATAATAATGCAATATACGAAGTCATTGTAATTTCTATTTTTATGAAAATTTTATTTTTTGAAAATATTTTTAAATTAATTTGATGTGTCACCTTAAAAAAATTGATGTGTCAATAATGGCTTAAAAATAGACAGCTCACTTATCTAAAAAAAATTAGATTCGTGAAATCTTTGCCGAAATACTATAATATCATATTATTATCAGTGGGGCTCCGTTGACACTCGTCAAGAGTGATACTAGCAGTGCCACTGTATTTTTAGAATACTTCTGGCACTTCAATTGAAAAATTTTATGGTTCTTTCCCCCCAACCCACTCCCTAAACCCCCCACGCTAGTCACCCTAGCCTCGCTCTAAGCCCTCTCCAAATGTGTGGCTATTATGCAATGCATGCATAATAGCAGCAGATTTGGAAGGAGGCTTACGGCGGAACTGTGGTGGAAGGTAGGGGTGGGGCTAGAGTGGGTGGGTTAGGGGGATAGAAACCATCAATTTTTTGATTGGAGCATTTCCAAAAATACAGTGGTACCGCAAGTGTCATCGTTGTCAAGTGTCAACGGAACCGTGTCCGATTATGATGCATGACTGATTCTGATAATTAGTTCGTGGTAATTAAATTCTTATATAGACCTATTATTATAAGAAATATGAATCATTTTGTATAAGTAGTAAATTATTATAAACATATTTATTTATTTACTTTCTTAATTTGTTTATGTGTGAAGATTCATAATAAACTTTAATTTCATGATAAATTACTCTTACTTTGTCTCATTTTATCAACTTTAAGGTTTTACTGAGTAATTAATTTATCAGCTACTCCGTATTAAGGATTTTTCTTTCAGAGTTTTAGAGAGATTATAAAATGTTTTTTCTTAATAAAAAATGAATCTTTTCGATTTAATAAAAAATGAATCTTTTCCACGTTTGAAAATAGTTGCACCGAATGTACTTAATTTGACGGAGAAGCTTGCGTGGTGCTGACTAGACTTGCCGTTGGCTAGAGGTGACTAATGCGTGGTCAAAGGGTGAAATCTATTTTTCAATATTATTCCCTCCATGTCAAATTAAACCTCTTAATTTGATTTTGAACGGAATTTAAGAAAAGTAAAATTATGTAGTTGAAAGTGATGTACAGATTGAAAAAAATTAAGACACAAAAAGTTTTTCAAAAAAAAAAAAGAAAAAGACTAATTTGGGACAATCCAAAAAAATGAGGATTAATTTGGAACGAATAAAGTACTTCCTCAGTCCTACAAAACTTCCCTTGTTTTGATTTTTAAAAAATTAAGAGAAGTGCATTTCGGTGTTGAGTTTTTTCAAAAATACCATTGGATGTAATGGATAAAAGTAGGATGCGATGGATAGATTGATAGTAAAAAAGTGTGATGTGATTGGTATGTTAAAATTAGTATGAGTAAAAATGATTTTTTAATATAAATGAAAAAGCTTTTTGGGACGAATGAAAAATGAAAGGGGAAAGATTTTCTAAAATGGATGAAGTAAAGGCTTTTCACTTTAGAAAAAATGTAATTTAAGGAATGTAAAATTTTCGTAATACTTTCCAATTTTACCCTTAATATACACTCCAGTAATATTGGATGTGATATGTAAATTAATACGGAGTAGTAAATAAATATAATGTACTCCCTCCGTCTCTTTAAACATGAGATGTTTTGATTTTGAAGAGATTTAAGGAGAGTGCATTTTGGTATTGAATTTCCAAAAATGTCCTTTGATGTGATGAGTAAAAGTAGGATTTCATGGGTAGATTATTAGTAAAAATGTATGATGTGATAGGTAGGATATGTAAAAGTAAGGGGTAAAAGTGACTTTTTAATAGAAATAAAAAGTGTTTTTGGGGACGGATGAAAAAAGAAAAGAGAAAGGTTTTCATGGACAGAGAGAATAATATGTATGTTAATAATGAGTACGTAAAATGGAGATTTAAATGAAAGTGGAAATATCTTTTGTAGGATTAAAATTGATTTGTTTTTATGATGGAGGGTAATTAATACTGAGTAATTTTTATGATTGAGTATAAAATACAGAGTAACCCAATACATCCTTAGATGGATGAGGATCCTAACTCCTTCCGTCAGATTCTCTGTGCTTATAAGTTGTTCAAAACTATTTATAAGATTGAATATCTTGTAGGTATTTCTCTATACTTAAGTCTTATAAACTGGTCAAAACTATTTATGTGATTGAACAAAGAAAAAATATAACTAGATAGAGAAATTGAATTCATACCATTAGGGTCTGGACCAATCACGTTCCACCGTCCGAGCAATGCCAGCAAAGAAAGCAAACATATCAACAAAAAAACAAAACATTTAGCATGTGGAAATGTGGCATGGAATTATTAATAATCTATCAATATAATCTATCTAATTTAATTTAACCATTATTTATTTCTCTTTTTTATACTACCTCCATCCCAAACATTTATTTGGTTTTGATTATATGCAATCAAAATTAATAAATTTCGATTGTTAATTAAGAGATATAACATTGAAATAATAATACAAAAATAATTTTTTTAAACTTATTACTCGTAGCTTATAAAATATTTTCAAAATATTGTCTTATCTAACTTTCAAACCTTATTCTCGTAAAATTCAACTGAGTTATTGTTATAATTATTTTATCTAATCAATATATTATGTACATAATTTTTATTTAATTATAAGTCAAATAGTTAAAGTTTGATCTTGATTGATTGTAAAAATTTAAAATTAAACAAATACTCTGAAACGAAGGAATCATATTTTTATTAATGATTTAATAAAATAGAAAAAGTCATTTGACTTTATTTTCTAGAAATTTTGATGTAACGTTTAAATATACTACGTATATTCTCTAAGTCCCATAGTCGATCACCACATTAATATTCTACTTTCTCGGTAACTTTTATTTATTTCTATATTTTAATTGAATATTTCATAAATAAAAATTTTTTGCCACATCTTATTTTGTAGAAGTCCGATGTAGATTTTTACTCCCTCTGTCCCTTTAAACATGGGATGTTTTGATTTTGAAGAGATTTAAGGAGAGTGTATTTTGGTATTGAATTTCCAAAAATGTTCTTTGATGTGATTGGTAAAAGTAGGATTTAATGGGTAGATTATTAGTAAAAAGGTATGATGTGATAGGATGATATGAAAAAGTAAGAAGTAAAAGTGACTTTTTAATAAAAATAAGAAGTGTTTTTTGGGACGAATGAGAAAAAAGGAAAAGGTTTTCAGGGACGGAGGAAGTAATAAGTAAGTTGTATTTTGTATTTCGATATAAATTTGTAGATAAAATTAATTTAAAAGACTCCGAGTCCTATATGTGGTTTGAAGTGTGTAATCAAATATGGGATAGATGAAGTATAATTTTTAGTTTTAAAGTTTACATAAATCTTTTAGTAAATATGATTTTAAAATAAATTTAGTCTGATAAAATTTAAGAAGGAATTGGTCAATAGACATGGTCATAAAAGCCCCATTAAAAGATTGAATTCAATTAATTACTTGATTCAATTAATGATTTTATATACCCATCAATTTTCTCTTCAACTTCTATGTAGGATAACTCTCAACATTCTCACTCAAGTGGACAACCGGACTATTTTGAATTTAATTAATTGACCAATTGCCAATGAATTTTCAATCCCCTAGAATAAATGTTTGACCGACAACACATAAATGACCAGAAGTCGTTGGGTATGACTTCCAAACAAATAATAAAGTTAAATGGGACAACTGTTGTTTGGATATCTTCTATTCCATATAGAATACTGAGCTAAAGAGTAAAGCCGCTAAGAATGAAAGTCTAGATAAGCACCTTGACAAATTAGGTAGGCCAAAATCTGCCATGATAGAATTTCGAATGAGTTAGGTACACTGCACTTGGCTCTAAGTCACTTAGACTCAACAACATTAAATGATTAAACCCAATCGATTATTGTAGTAAAAGACTATATACTCTCAGTGTATATAGTAGTAAAAGACTATATACTCTAACATCTATCCTCACAAGCAAAATTAAAAGACTATGGCATGTAAATAATGACTAAAACAATAATTTTGGTAAGGACAAAATAATAAATTGAGATTGAAGAGAACCAAAATGCAAGTCAACCGGACCGATGAGGCATTCTCAATTTATACACACCTAATAATCTAATTCGCAGTATAAGATAGAATTCACATATCATAATATTCTCTGTCCGTTATATTTAAATTTATAAACGGTTGTCATTTTTATTTAAACTTTTGACAGATTTAATTTTGTAATTTGAATTTTTAATTATATTTTTAATGTCAGAGAAAAAAGAGAGAGAAATCATGTAAATAATTTATTATATCAATATAAAATGAATAAAGCATATTTAATGACTTTATTTTGATATATTAGTCATTTTTATAAAAGTGGAATTGTTTAAAAGAAAACGGAAAAATTGAAAGAAGAATTACTTTAAAAAATGGAAGCAATACTTATTTTGTTTGAGATTGACGAAAAATTAAAAGAGATACTCCATCCGTCCTAAATGATCTTCTCAATTCGGTTTACGAAGGTTGACTGAAATTATTTTCAATCCATTTTATTTGATTTTAGGTGTAGAATTAAAAAATAAAAGTTTCATGTTTCAAAACTACATCAAAAGTCAAGATGTGACATGACTATATTATTTTATCAAATAACTAATGAAAATAAGTAAGGTAGTGTTTGGCAACTAGCATTTCATTTCAATTCATGCATCTCAATTCCAAGATTTGAAATCTTGAATTTCAAATAACAAGAGGAGGTGCATGAATTTGAAACTAAGCTTTATTATGAATGAGATGAATTTGACTCAAATCCAAATTCAAAATTTTTGAATTTCTCAAACGTGGAATTTGCGTCAAATCCGGATTTGAAATCCAAATGCATGTTGCCAAACATGCCATAAAGAAAATAATTAAAGTTTGACCATATAAATAGTGACTGAGAATATCATTTTAAGACCGAGGGAATATTACCGTTCATCCAATTCTTTTGGGGTTGAAAATGGTAAGCGCTTCTTTGCCAACCCAGCATCTGATTGTTCCACGAAAATGATAACTGTCGCAGCAGATAATGGCCGGCTGACTTGGCGGAGACACCTTCGGCGACTCCACGCGCCGCCGTGGGCGGCGGTGAAGTGGAGGTGTCGTAATCCAGTGCGGCCACAAACAGCAATGCCACCGCCAGTATTCCGGCTACCGAGACGCAGATGGCTGTGGGGGACGACCGCCGCCGTCTCGGGGCGGGTTCGGCCAACAAAGGGGTTGTCATTGCGGCGGCTGGAATTGCCACGTGATTCCAGTCTCCGGCAGAGTGGGAATCCATGGATCTGGATAAGCTATTCTGCTGAGAGGGCATATATGGGATTGACAATTAATAATAATGCACTCTCTCTATTTATATAGACGCAAATTTTGGCAAACCGAATTAATTATATTTCCTAATAATAATAAAATTGTTAATTTGCTTTTTAATTGTAGTCCTTTGTCCATAATATTTTTTTCTTTTTTACGGTTTTCGATGCATTAATAATTTGACCATTAATATATATATTTGTATATAGATATATATTATAATAATGTAATACATCAAAACAATACTTCAAAATGAATAATATAATGATATTAAATTTATATTATAATTAGATGTATTTTTTTGTAATTTGGAGTCAAAGTTATAAAATATTGACTAAGAAAGTCATATTGGGAAGAATTTTTTTGGACAGAGACTGGAAGGACCATTTTTTTGTTTTTTTAAAATTTGACGCGGCAAAGAGTTCGAGCACTATAATTGTGGCTCTCCCAAATAAACTAGTACTCCATCTGTTCCTAAAAGATTAGGAAAAATTATCTCAAATAATCCCATTTTTTAGTGCTCTTTCAAAAATAATCCTACTTTTCACTCTCACCAGAAATAATACCACCTTCCCGCATGTGTGCGAGTTTTGGGTCGCCGTTAAAAAACTAACGGTCACTTAACGGAAATTTTGAAAAATGCCCGTTTTTCGCAAATAAATGAAAGGTGGGATTATTTTAGGTAAATTCTACCTTTTTCGTTTTTTAATTTCTTTAAATGTATTTTTATTTTATTTTTTGGGAAAAAATACCAAATTTAAGTGTTTTTAGAGTGAAACTAATTGTTTTTTTTCAATAACCACTAATATGGTAATAATTAGAAAATAAATTATTCTACACAATAGAGCTAATTTATTAACTTCATAACTAACTACTCCCTCCGTTTGGAAAAAGTGTTCCTCTTTTGACTTTGTGTAAAAATAAGGAAGTATTAAATTGTAGTTGACTTCCAATTTTGCCCTTGATATGATAGGTAAAAGTAAGATGTGATGGATAGATTATTAGAGATAAAGCATGATGTGATAGGTAGGGTATGAAAAAGTAAGGGTAAAAGTGGTTTTTTAATAGAAAGTGGAAGTGTTTTGTTGGAAGAGGAAAAAATAAAAGAAGAAATGTTTTTGATAACGGAGGGAGTACATTTTTTTGTAATTTGTATTTACTGTATTTTTTCTTGAGCTGCACTTCAAATTATTTTTTGATACTACATTATTATTATTTCTTTAAAAAATGGCACTACAAAACTTATGAATATTTTTCGATATTTCTATATAAATATTTTTTGTGAAACAACATTACAATAGTTGTGAAAATAACACAACAATTTTTTTCTCTAAAATAGAACTTTTATTTTTATAACACAATACATTTTCTGATGTATTACAATTTTTCCATGAACACTCTGAAATATTTATTGATAATCTTATATTGCAATAAAATTTTCTTTCTAAAATGGAACTACCCAATTTGTGATTTTTTAAATAATTCAATACAAATTTTTCCCCAAAATAGTAATTCAAAAGTTGTGAAAATGACACAATATTTTTTTCTCCGAAACAGAACCCATAAATTTTATAAATCACTACAATTTTTTTTATTGTAATTTCTTTCTTGATCGATACTCTGAATTATTTTTGATAATTCAATACTATATTTTCCCAAAACAATTAACAAAATTTGTTAATCGTTAGACAAATCTCTAACAAGAGTGTATTGTTATATTTTAAAAAATATTAATTTTAAAATCAAAACTAAAAAAGTAAAAAGTAAATTTTTCTAAAATAATCTCACCTTTCATTTATTTGCAAAAAACAGACATTTTCAAAAATTTCCGTTAAGTGGCCGTTAGTTTTTTAACGGTGACCCAAAACTCACACATGCGAAAAGGTGGAACTATTTCCGGTGACAGTAAAATGTAAGATTATTTTTGAAAAAGCGCGAAAAGGTGGGATTATTTGAGATAATTTTTCCAAAAGATTACTACAATTTGAATTTTTTTGATCAAATTATAGCACTTTTTAACCACAAATTATAGAAAAAGTATATTTAGTTATAATGTAAATTTTGTAGAATTGGTCTTATTTTAAAATATAGTCTTTAAATATTAAAATTTTATAATATTTAATTATTTTAAACTATATTCAGTTCATGGTCAAATGGTGTCACAGCTTGATAAAATAGTTAAATTGCTACAATCTTTTAGGAACGAAGTAAAAGAGTAAAACATGTTTCTTAGCAATCTGCATTTTTAATACAAAAATATGATTATATTACCAAAGAGTGTCAATATATAATGTCAAAAGCACTATGAAACTGGAACATATAATGCCTAGTGGTGGCATTGCACAGTGCAAGCGCTCCTATTTAAGAGGAGAATATAAGAAATAAAAATCTATCATGGTATAATCATGGGCGGCCTTGAGGGTGTGCAAGGTGTGCACCCAGATCCCCAAATTTTTAGGATACAATATTGTTAGATATTCATTATTCAAATTATTTGATATTTTTAAATTTAAAGTAAATTTATATTTTAATGTACAAATTGTTTTAAAATTAGTTATTAAAAATTAAATTTAGCACTACTTTTAAAGCACAAGTACCAAACAAAAGTAAAAATATGGCCCAACAGGTGAATTTTGTGCAAAGACAATATCATATTTTCATATCGGGGCAGTCCTGGATATATTTTTAATATTTTAGTCCCATATTAATAAATTTCTTCTGCCTCTTTATATTTTAGTACATTAAAAAAGTATATATAAAGAGATCCTACATTAATAATAGAGTTAATGTACTATTTTTTTTTATGGAAGTCCATTATTGTTTCTAGTTATATACTCCGTACACTTTATGGATCTCTAACGTGACTCATTTTAATGCATTAACAAAACTATTAAATATTACGGAGTCTTTTTTTTTTGACAGTTTTATTTAAAAAAAATACACATTCGGAGAAAGACATGAACCAACTGTCCAAATAAATTATGGACATCATACTTTTACTCTATGAAAGAGGAGCTAGGAGGGCCATTTTGGAAGGCCCTGTCCTCCCACTAGGACCACACAACCCAATTATTTTTTTTAATATTAATTGATCAATTCTTTTAAATATTTTATTCTGAAATTATTTGTTTGGATAAAAATGGAATACATTTAATTAGTTCAACTATTTTGGTTATAATTTCATTAAGTTCAACAAGTTTTATTATTACCAAACCGGCCGTAGAAACGTGGTCTTATTACGGACGCAAGTCAATTGGAATATTAGACTAATTTGACCCGGAACGTGATTAAGGATCAATGCAAAATTACAATTTACACATGCTTAGCTTAATTCGAGAACAACTTTTGTAATTAATATTTGCATTTTAAACATTTTTTATTGGGAAATTTACCTAAATATGACTAAAACATAATAACTTTCTCAATATAGAACCATATGTTTTTATTTTCCAATATAGGATCATTGATCATTATCCATTAGTCATTATTCAAGTAATTATCCATCATTGCTGAACATTATTCCTTCCAATAGACATTATTAAATACTATTTAGGAAATTAAAAAGTTTAACTCTTATTGAAAAATGACTTATGTTTTAGTCTTATTCAATGCAAATTTCACTTTTTTATTATCTTGAAGACTACCTATGAAAACAAGAAGTCAAAAAGTTATCGTTAGATAACATTTTAAGAACGTTGAAATTAGATGCTAAAAGTAATGCTATTACTACAATTTTTTCTAATTTGCGGGGTCCATGTCCATGTATAGCCCCCAATAAATCTTAGAAGCATGTTATATTTATCAATAACAGCATATCAAACACTCTTCTCCCAATTGTTATGACAAAATTTTAAACCTAAGATTTCTAACTCAAACCCTGTTCGCGGCTATCAATCACCCCTTTGGCAAGGTATATTCAAGGACATGTTGGTAGCCCAACTTCTAATTAGTAACTAGAGACGTTATAGATGTACGTATCTCCCCTATGTGCATGGTCGTTCCAGTGATGAACGATGTGTTTTCTCACACTATAGATACATATCTAATCAGTGTTTCTCACAAATCACACGACGTTTGCATATAATAATCATGAACCTTCCTCTTTCTTGTGTACTTTTTCTTTGTATTCTATATGATAGACTTGTGATATTTATATGTCCTCCTTTAACCCAAATTGAGTAAGACTAGAAGACTTCTTTTTGCGACCATAAGAGCATGGATAGCGGCGTGTAATACCCTCTGCCACGCCTGCAACCTTGTTGGGGATAACGAAGATAACGCGAATCAAATTGAAATTGGTGTAGCACTTTCAGATTGATTATTTTAAGTGTTTAATCCAATAATCAATCAGATAAAACTCAAATTTGTGACAAGAATCGATATGAACTGATATGAGTTTTCGAACTGACTTTGCGACCATGGATTTGCCGGATTCTTATAGACGCGGAAGGAAAGATTTAAGATGCGGTTGCGTCTTTTCTAAATTCGCGTCTAGTTGTGCGAAACGGTAGAAAAACACACGAAAATTTTTGAAAAAAATCTTTAAGGATAAAATCAGAAATTTAAAATACAAATGAATTTTTAATACATCACTTTGTCCAACATAAAAAAAATTTCGAGCTGCCCTGGCATTTTGACCCCAGCTAGGGGCTCTGCCCACCCTGAAATTCCAATCTAAAAGAACAATGCATTAATGTTATCAATGTGGCAAGATTATATTTTTGAACTCTAAGTGTTTGTGAAGGTTAAGGGAGTGACTAAGGGTATGTTCTCTTTGTCTAATCTGATAAATCATGATCTGAATCTATTAATTTTAGATCTGATCTGATTTGGTCTGAACTTATCTGATCTGATCTGATCTAAACTTATCTTATCTGATCTGAATGTAGTGTAATTAAAGTTATGGCGGATCTGATCTAAACTTATCTGATCTGAACTTATCTGATTTGATCTAGACATAGTAGAGTAAATAATTAATATGGGAGGGAGGAATTAAATAACTAAGAGCATAGGCAGCAGGCAAGGCAGATGCCTACAACGTTATCCCGGTCTTTTTTTTTGTGTG